GATGATGATAGTGATGATGATGCATAGATGTGTATACATTTAGATGTCTAATGAAGAAGGTTGCTTCTTTTCTGTGGTCACAAAATGTGCATGTCATGATGATACTGAAGTTCACAATTTTAAACTCAGTTTAATCAGTTAATCAGGGTATATGCAGGAATCCTGAAGTCAAATTGAATACCTTTTAAGACCTTTTTTAAGACCCTTTCCATACATTTTAAGACCTCATCGCAACTTCGAGTTCTAACCGGTTACATTGGCGACACACTTTACCTCACATTTACTATATTGATTGTAAGATAGCACAACTAAACTGAGTGCAGTCAGACTACTGAAGCCTCCTCTCCACATGAACTTCAACCTCTCTGTGAAGGTCAGGTTTAATGCAGTATGCTGCTTTGTTGCTTCTGTACTCTGTGCTCTTTCATTCCAGTCAAACTCCTCAGAAACCATTAGAAACCAGTATTTGACCAATAAACAAAACAATTGACAAAACTTTGAACTATGAAATATATTAAACTTTGGTGAGCTTCAGCGGGGTAATGCCATATAGGAGCTCCCTCACAAATACCCAGGGGTTAAATTGGGCTGGGGCTGTCCGGGGCTAAGCCCGGCACATAGGACGATGCTCTGACGTCATCCCCCTCACACATTTGTCATATGTTTACAAAAAACGATATATATGTTAAGACTTTTCTCGTTCTTAATATAGACTATATTTAGGGTCGATATGTGTTGACCTTACTTTAAAATAGCAGATCTCTGTGACCGGATATAGTTTGGCTTAGACCCCGGCCCCACACAGACGCGTTACAAAGTAACGCGTTACTGTAACGCCGTTATTTTTGGCAGTAACTAGTACTCTAACGCATTACTTTTTTAATTCAGTAACTCAGTTACCGTTACTACATGGTGCGTTACTCTGTTAGTTTTTTTTATATAGTCAACAGCCAGGCGAACAGAGATGAGAACTGTACTTAAGTAGCCTACAGTACTTGAGTAAATGTACTTAGATACTTCCTGTGTCACATGCGGAGACGGGCTGTGGGCGTGTTTGTGTTGTTTACTAACAAGACTATCATGGCGGCGGCGGAGCTCAAGTCTAGTTTCTCCACCTGGAGATATTCTCACTATTTCACTTTTGTCGAGCACAAAGAAAAGAACGTTTTAGTTAAATGTAAGTTGTGTCCTGGCGGGTCAAAGATCCTATCTACTGCCCAAACCAGTAATTCAAATCTCTTAAAACATCTGCAAAAACAACATGCTGGGACGAAGCTAGTAGCTAAGACCACAGAGACTCAGCCGACGCCACTCCACCTCCACCTAAGCAACAGCGGCTGGATTTTAACCGAGGGACTGCTAGCCAGGGAAAAGTCGATAAAGCCATTGCACGGTATGTTGTAGAACACATGCAGGCTATTGCTACAGTGGAGTCACCCGCTTTCAGGGAGCTAGTTAGCATGATAGCATGTCCGGGCGGCACACGGGACGGAAAACTACCTGGAGAAAGAATATACAAAAATGGAAAGCCAGCTAATATCGATGCAATCCAGATTGCATATAATGCATGTCAAGTTGATCAACAGATTGTATTATTCTCCAATGCAATAACAGTACTGAAATGAAGGCTATAAGGGCATTAATGGGAGCCCTTTTTCAAAGTAACTAAAACGTTACTTTGCACAGTAACGCATTACTTTGGGTGTAGGTAACTAATAATAATAATATATTAATTTGATATAGCGCTTTTCTGGACCCAAAGACGCTTTACATTTGGGAGGGGGGGTATACAAACAAAACAAAAAACAGAGACAAAGCCAAAAAGAAACAAAACACAACAGAAAAAGCAGTCAGGAGGAAGTTGATTAAGAGGGGGGGGGGGGCTTTATAGATAAAGAGTTGAAGAGGTGGGTTTTGAGGCGGGACTGGAACAGGGTGAGGGACCCAGACTCACGGAGTGAGTTCCAGAGCTTCGGGGCTGCCACAGAGAAGGCTCTGTCCCCGAAGCTCCGGAGTTTGGCCTTGGGGATTGAAAGCAAACCGGCTGAGGTGGATCTGAGGGACCGGGGTGGTTGGTAGAGGGTGAGGAGGTCAGTGAGGTAGGGGGGGGCCAGATGGTGGAGGGCTTTATAAGTGAGGACCAGGAGTTTGTAATTGATGCGGTGTGTAACGGGGAGCCAGTGGAGTTCTTTGAGGACCGGGGTGATTTGATGCCATGATTTGGTGTGGGTGAGGAGTCTGGCGGCTGCGTTCTGGACACGCTGGAGTCTACTGAGGGAGGTGGAGCTGATGCCGTAGAGGAGGGAGTTGCAATAGTCAAGGCGGGAGGAGATGAAGGCGTGAATGAGTCGCTCAGCTGCAGGGCGGGTGAGAGAGGGACGGAGTTTGGCAATATTGCGGAGGTGGAAAAATGAGATTTTTGACAACATGACGGATGTGGGGCTCGAGGGAGAGGGTGGGGTCAAATATCACGCCAAGGTTGCGTGCCTGGGTGGAGGGGTAAACAGGGGTGCCATCAATGGTGATTGTCAGGTTGGGGGTTTTGCTGAGGGTGGATTTTGATCCGATGAGTAAAGTAACTGAGTTACTTTTGAAATGAAGTAACTAGTAATGGTAACTAGTTACTGGTTTTCAGTAACTAGCACAACACTTACGGTATGCATGGGGCCACTTTGAGGGAGTTTCCCGACATGTTGTTTCAGTAAATTAAAGGTTGTTTCATGTTGTCGTTGCTGTGGACCTTCTTAATACCTTGGAAAATGCCGTTTAATACTTTTTAATAGCCTTAATTTTCGCTAAATTGATTTATCAACTTTTAATACTTTTTAAGACCCCGCGGACACCCTGTTAATGTCAATTATCTGTTAAGTCCTCAATAAAAGTTACCATGCAATTTAGTGAGTTCTACCTAATTATTGTTGGCACCATTGGATTTCTTGATCCTGAAAATGTGGGTTTAGCAGTTCAAATCAATGTTCTAGCTTATTTAGAAGTCAAGATATTACAAGACCTACATTTTACGGCGGCCATTTTGGAAATTCCAATATGGCCGCCATATAAACACCTGGGCAAATGGAAACCTGGGTTGCATTCCAATAGTCCATTTAGCTTAGGAACCTTCCTAACGGAGTGAAATGACCCGGAAGTACGTCACTGGCAGCCATGTTAAGTGCCGTTCCAATTCTCCAAATGAAAGGAAAGGAGGTTTCAAACTTCCTTTATAACCTCCTTTAGCTTAGGAACCACTGGACCTCCCTTACCGAAAGGAGAGGAGAAAATGCTGCCCCACAATGCATTGCAGCCGCAGCATTTGCCGTCACTCAACAGTCGGCCGTTCACGGAAACAACCGATTATGACGGAGAAATTATATCATGAAAGTTACGGTGCTTATTAAGCTTTTTAAAACGTATGTGGTAAATTGCCAAAGTGCTTTGTTCTGAACGTTCATCAGTATTATAATCAAAAAGAGAAATATGAACGTTAGTTTTTACTGAAATGATCAAATAAAGTCAACATCTCACAGTCTTTACTGAGCTGTGTGGAGTTTGTTCAACTTTTAAAAGATGTTTGAATGGTGATATACACAGTGATAGATGTTAAGGACTAACGTTTATAATAAATACATTTATATTGATTTTAAGATATTTTCATAGTTCATCAATCATACGTATTGGGATCATTTGTATTAATGTGGACCGGAGGGAGAGGGTGACGAGCATAAGTTTGACTTTCCTTTTTTATTTCCATTCCAACTTTGGTCATGAAGAATATGTTTCTCTGTTGTCCACGTTCATAAAGCATAAAGCAACAGCATCAGAGCACGGTGCAGAGTCTCTAGATGAGTTTACAGTAGTCCCTCGTTCTTATTGAACATCCATGTTGTAGTCCGCTGTATAGAAAACTGTAGTTTCCATAGTTTCCCCACAGCAGCAGACGCCCATTCATGACGTCCGCTGGCGCATCATAAACACGTCGGATAGTGAAAGTGCATTCGATTCTCTAAAGTACCGCGGTCTCTTCTCCTAAGTCCTTTTGAATTCTCCTATCCACTATCCCTTAACCCCGTGACGTTTCACTCAGAGGTCAAGGAATAGGAGATAGGGTTAGAATTTAGGAGCTGATTTTTGGATTATCGGAACGCAACCCTGGATTTTCTGAATCCTTATACAATATCCTTTCCAAAAATGTATAGTATTGCAAATCCCCACAAAAATATATAGTGAACCTGACTATTTGTTTAAATGTTTTAATTAGGTTGTTTTTGTTTGTAGAAGCGCATCATTCCTTGATTTATTGTAAAATGAATCTGAACTTTTTGATCTGTTATGATGATAAACTGAAGCAATTTCAAAATGAACCCAATTAAGTGAGTTTTAAATCGTCCTACTTAGTTTATAAGGAAATGATGAAGAGGAACAAATTCAATGATTTGAAAATGATATCTATGTAGGTGCTGACGCTGTTGGCGGTTCTTGTGTTAACATACATTTAAATTAAATATGTGTAATGGCAAATGCCATATATGATTTTCTTGCCTTTTTGAACAGACTTTTTGAGTCCTAGCTATATTGTCTGCAGTTCTAGGGTTAATATGAATCTAATATGATTGTCATCGGTCTAAATTAGATTTAAAATGATTAACTGTGTATGTAATGAAGATCATTGTGTGGGTTGAATCCATTTTCATAGCCACTGTCTTTTAACTGATCTAAATGCGAAAACTGGGCTTATTCATCAGAATTGTGTATGACTTGACTTGCTTGACTCTCCCAACAGTGACTTGGGACTTGCTTGATACTTGTAGGTCAAGACTTGAGACTTGCTCATGACTTGCACATGTAGGACTTACTCCCACCTCTGCCCAGTTGTCATGGAGGCTCAGACAGCTCAGACAACACTGCTTTGTCTTTGTAAATCTCTTTTAGCCAGAAAGTCTTGAAAAATACCTACATTTCATATTGACTCTGAAGCTCTCTCCATCTAATGCTCCTTCTATTACCTTGTTTAGTAGTGCAAGAACATGCTCGATGTCGCTCTGACTCTGCTGGTCGGACAAGCATCCTCGAATCTGCTTCAGGGACAGCAGCAGCTCCTCCAACTCTGCAATAAGAACACATGCACTGTTTCATAACTTGATGCACTGGCCCAACATTGGCAGTGGCCACCACCTTCATAGAAGGGGGAAGAATATCATTGCTTTTGTGTTGACAAAAAAAAAAATTGCTGCACAGTCTCTGGTCATCTTTTTTGTCCATGGCTTTATCAAAGCACAAACTTGTTCTGTATATTTATTATTTAACAGTTTAATTAAATGAATGGCAACTTTATAAGGTTTTTAAAGTTACTTTTAGGAATTTGGGCTCATTCAAAGTTTCCCTAGCACAAAAGGAGAATAACCAACGACAAAATAATATAAAAAGATCTGCATTGGTGTCAGCATCGGCCACATTTTTTAAAATTGCTATTTTAAACATCGGTATTGGCCTTGGCTGAGACATTGGACAGCGGTATATCTCTTTTGATAACATTTCACTTCCACAAATCAACCGACAGAAAAGAGAAGACCATAAAGGGGCTTGAAATGAGAGATGTACTTTCCTGTCAGGTGACGGCTTGCTTTTCCTGGCTTCAGATTGAGGAATTATAAGAGCTGCATCTAATTCCTTAAGTAAAGGCGCTACTGTGTGCGTGTCAACATTGCCACCCCTCACAACGTTTAATTAAGTCACCCTCAAGAGCCTCTCATGTCCTTCTCTCCCTCCCTGAGGAATTCCCTCCCTAGCAGCAGTCATGCCTTCCTTACATTCCTCTCCCTCCCTGCCAGCTTTCTGCAGACATTTGATTTCTACCGTACACTGTAACTTTTTATTCTTTTCTTTTCATTTATTTCTCTTTCATCCATTATGTGTGTGTGTGGGTTTTACCAAGCAGTGCGTGTGTGTGCTGGATGTTGAGAGATGGCTGCTGCGGTGTGTTTGAGTCCTGCAGGAATGTGGGGTTGTCGATGCCGATGTGGGGATGCTGGGAGAGCTTCCTGAGTCTGATGGAGGAGTTCAGGTCAAGCTGCCGACCCTCCTCCTCTCTGCGGCGACGCAGATCCTCCTGGCACACACGGAAGAATAAATGCACCGTCAATAGAAATACAATTAAACAACAAAGCATAACAGCCTCATATTGAGTAAATAAACAATAAGCATTTCATTCAATTTCTTCACTATAATACGTTATTGGTCACAGTGCAGTAAAAAATGTCTCCCAGCTTTGTTGACGTTTAATCCTAAATTGTGTTTACTCTTTGCCATGTCTACGGTTGTGTATGGAATAATAGTCTCTTTGCTCTTAAGATCATATGTTTTCAAATCAGATCAAATGTTGTTTATATTGCCTAATATCACTAAACGCATATGTCTCAGCAGGCTTTACAGTTTGTACAGATCAAAAGTATGGATGACAGTGTAAAAAATGTAATCAAATTACAACAGACAAAATCGTCGACATTTAATTAAATAAAGGACCCGGAAGTCAATGTTTTTAGGTACCAGTATACGTTTTTTGGTTTTATGCAATCAGAAAATACCCCACTTGAGAATGTCTGAAACTTCTATGTGTCTAAAAAAGGTGGTTGCCAATAAGTGGCAAAGAGAAGCATTTGACACAAATCACACCTAACATTAGCTACCTTTAGCTTAGCCGTGGTGACTGTAGTTCCTTTATAGCCTAAAGTTACCTTGCAATTGCATTTATGTTCAACAATTAAAAGTGGTGATATACGTTGAGATTTTCCTGCTGAACAAAACGTGGAAGTATCAGAAATGTGTGTTTACTTAAGGCCTTATTCAATATTCCTAAATCCAATGTAAAAATCTCAATGCTTTTTGTTGAGGGAGAGGTTAGCGATGCTAACTTTGGGGTTAGCCTACAAAAATCCCTGTATCACTCTATAAGAAAGTAACAAGTGTGTGTGTGTGTGTGTGTGTGTGTGTGTGTGTGGTGTGTGTGTGTGTGTGTGGTGTGTGTGTGTGTGTGTGTGTGTGTGTGTGTGTGTGTGTGTGTGTGTGTGTGTGTGTGTGTGTACCTGGTGCTGTCGTATCCTCTCCAGCTGTGCAGATCTTCTGACCGGTAGTGTTCGACTCCCCAGCTCTCCTGGACAGTCCACAGCCATCTCCCTATGCTGTCCTCCCCTCAGCTCTTCATCTCCTCCCCCTCCTCCCTCTCCCTCTCCAGCGACATGGCCGTTCAGATGGGAGGTTGTCATTGTTGGTGTGTGGATTACAGGGTTGTTTGGGTAATGTTTTCTAAATATCAGTGAAATCTAGGAGGGCAGCTCAGCAAACAGGGCGGCCATGATACCTTCAGCTGTGGAGAAAGCAGAAGAAATATGTCATTATTTATCAATTTAATAAAAAAGCTTTGCTTTTACACAGAATATGACCTTCAATTTAAGTAGGAGGTTAAAACATATTAACACACATATGTGCATGTGTAAATGATGCACATGAATCTAAAAAGGTAAAATAAGCTAGAGAATAAATACAATAAAACTGAACAGTAAAAGTAAAGACAGAAATAAGACACACTTAATAAATAAGGGACACAAAACGACAGAGAACCAGTGGGAGTATTTCTTATGTGGAAACTAGTGTGTGACATTCAACATCCCAACATTCCTCCAACATTGATAAGATCACATCAGAAGAGGAAGTGTCCTGAAGGCCATTTAGCGGTGCTACACTATCAGACCCAGGTCTGGTGAATCATGACCATTAGGGATCCATTTACCTGTGACTATCGAGTCTGACATGACAAACACAGGATGTACGAGTGTTTAGTACTCCAAAATGAAAGTTTCTTAAAAAATAAATGACTCTAAAGAGGACATGTTATGCTCATTTTCACATGTATGTTATTTTTGTGTCCCTCTCCTGTGACATGTTCACATGCTTAATGTTCAAAAAGCTCTTGATGTTTCTCATACTGCCTGTGCTGCAGCACCTCTCTGCTACCCAGTTTCTTGTTAGCATTTCACTGCTAGCTTCTCAATTTAGCTGCCACCTAGCCCCTGCTTAGCAGCTCGTAGCTAGCCGCTGCTCCTCTGTGCTGCTGACATGGCTCTCTGGAAATACTCCGCTCTGCAAATGTGGAATCTTGTCTGCCACAACACTCCTAACTGCCTCACTACAATACAATCACTTGGACTCCTTTGCCGTCTCCACTATGTGCATAGGGCTGCACGTCGCAAGTTTGTCAACTCTGACCATGACATCCCCACCACACAGACAGACAGGCGGTCCGTCGCACTTCGCCGACGTCATCAGAGCACACCCTACGTGCATAGCTGTAATCTGAGACCTCTCAGCTGTATCAACGTCATCAGCCCATTCACCCCCTCTGCCTCAACAACTACAAACAACAATGCAACATTCATGCTGCAGAATGTGCGATCACTGAACAAAAAAGCACCTCTGATCAATGACATCACTGATCATAAACTTCATTTCCTCTGCTTAACCGAAACATGGCAAACTGGACAGGATTTCCTATTACTCAACCAAGCCACACCTCCTGGCTATGTCTACCTCCAAAAGCCCCACTCCACTGGTCAGGCGGTGGGCTGGCTGTAATATACAGGGCAGACATCTCGATCAGAGAGCTTCCTGTACCCAACACCACCTCACTTGAATGTCTTGCCTCTCTATCTGGATCTGCACAGCTCCAGGCTGTTCTTATATATCGCCCCCCCCCCAAAGCCTCAGCCTCTGCCATCTTCCTGTCGGAACTATCTGAGCTACTCACCTCAATCTGCTCCATGTCCCCATCTACGCTTGGAGACTTTAACATTCATGTGGACTCACCCTGTTGCACATTTGCCTCTGACTTCCTGGCACTTCTGGACTGCTTCAATTTTGAACAGCATGTCCATGATCCCACCCATGCCAAAGGCCACACCCTGGATTTGGTATGTACCACTGGCACAACTGCATCCCACCTGCAGTGCCTCAACCTGGCTGTCTCCGACCATCATGCCATCCTGTTCACTGTGCCTATCGCCCTCCCCAGACAGCAGTACTGCGGGCAATTACGGACAATTGTCCTGCGGACAGGAGCTTAAAATCAGTGAGCGCACCAGCCATAACCAGCCTCATAGCTAGCCACCTGGCCTCCAATCCCCCTGACACCTCGGTTGATGGACTGGTAGCCCAGTATAACACTGCTCTCTCCCTGAGTCTTGACTCACTTGCCCCCCTCATTACTCGCACTGTCTCCTTCACCCACTCAGCCCTCTGGTTCACCACCAGTCTCCGTGCCATGAAAGCCTCTGGCCGCCAACTGGAGCAGCTCCACATAAAATCTGGCCTCACAGTCCATCTGGAGGCGTATAGAGAGCATGTCAAATCTTATAAGGACGCTCTCTCAAAAGCTAAGGCACCACTACTACTCCTCACTCATCGGTAACCATCAACACCACCCCTGTATGCTCTTCTCCACCATAAACCGCCTACTCCGCCCAATTGACCCCCCCAACCCAGCAGACGCCCCCCGAGCTTTGCACCAGGTTCCTTGACTTCTTTGAGGACAAAGTCAACTCCATCCACCAGGAACTCCAGGCCTCTGCCCCCATCCCATCCACATTCCACACGACCTCCAGTCACTGTTCGCTCAACTCAACACCTGCCTCAATGTTGTCTCTCCTCCTTTACACCAGTGGATGCCACACAGGTTACCAAACTTGTCTCAAAAGCTAAGGCTACAACCTGCTTCCCTGGTTCCCGCCGTCCTCAAGATAGCAGCTGTCACTCCCATCGTCAAAAAACCTGGTCTCGACCCCGAGGACCCCAGCAACTTCCGGCCGATCTCCAACCTTCCTTTTCTTAGCAAGATCATGGAAAGAGCAGTTGCTGCCCAACTCCACCATCATATGTCCGACCATGAGCTCTACGAACCCTTCCAATCAGGCTTCAGATCCAACCACAGCACAGAGACGGCCCTTATTAAAATAACCAATGACCTTCTCACAGCCGCCGATTCAGGCCTCGTCAGCATCCTTATCCTCCTGGACATCTCCGCCGCATTCGACACAGTCTCCCACACTATCCTACTCAACCGCCTATCCCTCTACCTTGGCCTCTCTGGTACAGCCCTCTCCTGGTTCCATTCCTACCTCTCCAACAGGCAACAGTTTGTGACCATCGGAAAATCCAGCTCTCCCCCAGCCCCTGTCAACCAAGGTGTGCCGCAAGGTTCGGTGCTCGGCCCCCTTCTATTTAACATCTACATGCTCCCTCTCGGTGAAATCATCCGCCGACATGGTCTCAACTTCCACTCCTATGCCGACGACACCCAACTCTACATCAGTACCAATCCATCATCCCAGCTACCCCCACTGTCACTTGTCAACTGCCTCCGCGACATCCAAGCCTGGATGTCAAAAAATCTACTTTTACATTACATTACATTGCATTTAGCTGACGCTTTTGTCCAAAGCGACTTACAATAAGTACATTCGACCAGGAAGACACAACCTTGAAGAAAACAGAATCATATAAGTACATCAGGTTTCATAGAGCCACACATTTCAAGTGCTACTCAACTGGCTTTAGGTAAGCCAGTCCTTTATTAGTATAAAAGTGCTTCGTTAATAGTTCTAACGCTCGAAGTGGAGTCGAAAGAGATGAGTTTTCAGTTTGCGCTGGAAGATGTGCAAGCTATTTGCCGTCCTGATGTCAATGGGGAGCTCATTCCACCATCTTGGAGCCAGGACAGCAAACCCACGTGTTTTTGCCGATGGGAACTTGGGTCCCCCTCGCAGCGAGGGCGCAGCGAGTCGTTTGGCTGATGCAGAGCGTAGTGCACGCGCTGGGGTGTACGGTTTAACCATGTCCTGGATGTAGGAAGGGCCAGATCCATTCACAGCATGGTAAGCAAGTACCAGTGTCTTGAAGTGGATTCTAGCAGTTACCGGAAGCCAGTGAAGGGAGCGGAGGAGCGGAGTGGTGTGGGAAAATGTAGGAAGGTTGAAGACCAGACGAGCCGCTGCATTCTGGGTGAGCTGCAGAGGTCGGATGGCACATGCAGGTAGACCAGCCAGGAGGGAGTTGCAGTAGTCTAGGCGTGAGATGACGAGAGCCTGAACCAGAAGTTGCGTCGCTTTCTGTGTCAGCTGGGGACGTATCTTCCTGATGTTGTAAAGCGTGTATCTGCAGCAACGGGTTGTAGCAGCGATGTTTGCAGTGAAGGACAGGTTGTTATCTAGGGTCACACCCAGATTCCTTGCAGTCTGAGTCGGGGGAAACAACTGAGGTGCCGATGTTGATTGTTAGGTCAAGAGTGGGACAATCTTTTCCCGGGAGGAAGAGCAGCTCAGTCTTGTCAAGGTTGAGCTTGAGGTGGTGAGCAGACATCCACTGAGAGATGTCAGCTAGACAAGCAGAGATGCGTGCAACGACCTGGGTCTCTGAGCGGGGAAAGGACAGAATTAATTGGGTGTCATCAGCGTAGCAGTGGTAAGAAAAACCATGCGGGCTAATGACTGATCCGAGCGAGTTTGTGTACAGGGAGAAGAGGAGGGGACCAAGAACAGAGCCCTGAGGGACCCCTGTAGTTAATTGACAATGGTCGGACTCAGACCCTCTCCAAGTGACCCTGTAGGTACGGTCTGAGGTATGAGGTGAGGAGGGAAAGAGCAGAGCCTGAAAACTCCATGTTTTTGGAGAGTGCGAAGGAGGATCTGATGATTCACCGTGTCGAATGCAGCAGACAGGTCCAACAGGATGATGACAGAGGAGAGGGATGCAGTTTTGGCAGTGTGCAGTTCCTCCGTGACAGCAATGAGAGCAGTTTCTGTACTTCCCATTGTAAAGCGTCCTTGGGTTTCGTGAAAGGCGCTATATAAATTGAAATTATTATTATTATTTTCACCCTCTGTCTGAAACCAGAGCCCAGTTTGCTCTGATTGGTTAGCTGGCCGGCTCTGTTGTGATTGGTCAACTGCTTAGAGATGTCCCCAACAGTTAGCCTATCACGTATGTGTTGGAGCACTAGCCAATAGAAGCGAGTGTTACATAGAGATGTCATTATGTTATGGAAGTAAACAAAGGAGAGAAAACATGAGGCAAAGGTGGCCAAAACAGCTGAAAGAACGGATTTCTCCCAGCAGACATTTGGACTTTTATTAGAAGAAAAACACATAAATGACATAATGAACAAGTGTCCTCGTAAACTAGAACGGTGAGCCAGCCATGAAATTCAGCCAAAAATAGTAAATACAGGAAATGATCGCCTCTAAAAGAGTAGTTTTATAAAAAAAAAAGCTTTTTGATAATATTAATTCCGTTTGACCTAATACATATCAATTAATGTTAACATTTGAAAAAACACATTACAGTCAACAGTTAAACAACATTGCACAGCTTATATGATTTATCAGGGTGTGTCGGTTTTGTTGGATCAGATTTGAATGACAAAGAAACATGCTAACTGTGCCAACAGTGACAGTTGGACAACTTTATAAACCCAGAGCGGCAAGAAGCGCTCCGTTCCCAGCTGAGCGCTTCACCTTTAGTTTTTGTATTTGCAGCGTTTTTGTTTATACAGCACTTTTAGTAAACGCTGCCCATGTTTAATCAAGTTGGTGAAAGTTTTTAAATGCCGTGCATGTGTTGTCAAGTTTGTGAAGATGTTTCTTCATTTGCATGTGTTTTGGCACATTTGTGTTTTAATATTTGCATTTTTCCTGGAGCTGCAGCTCATTCCTCCTTTTGTGTTGGGCCGATTTTTGCACCCGTCGGTAGGGTTGGGTATCGTTTGAATTTCCACGATTCTGATTCCGATTCTACTTTTCGATTCCGGTTCTTAACGGTTCTCAATTCCGATTCTTTGAGGGGCAGGGTAAAAAAATGATACATGCTTCTTCCACCAAAAAAAATTACATTTATTCGAGAAACTTTTACACAGGTTAGTTTACAGTAATATTCACATTAATCAGTCTGTTTATATTCACTACTATGTAACTGTAACCTGAGAACCACTGAAGCTACAACAGTGCAACAGTCCAACTTTTAAAGGAACCCCCCCCCCCCCATTTAAAAACAGTTCTTGTTGAGAAAAACAAGCATATCTGCCTTCTCAGGCATACCGGGAAGAAATGTTTGAACATTTTAAAGTAAAATGCTTCAATCTGGTGCACTTTAAGCAGAATTACTAGAGACTAGATCTAGGGGGTACAACTCTAAACACCCATATGAAAAAGATCGGTTTACATTTGAATAATTAAATAAGTATGTGAACATAACCAATAACCTACCATAGCCAATAACAAATACATGTAACATATTTTATTTTTGTTGTTCATTCATATCTTATTTTACTTTTTTATTTATGCATATTTTTTTATCTCTCCAGTTTAAAACGATATGTCTGGTTTACTGTCCTATACATTGGAATGATTTCAAACCTGTTTTATCCCAATAATTATAAAGGAGTGCCTTGGAAATATGTGTTTACATAAATTGTGATCAAAACGTTTGAGACCCACTGAGATAACTTAGACTAAAGTTAACTATCTAAACACTTGGAGTCTTTTACCTCACTGAGCTGTAGTTATCAGCCTCTCAGTCTGACTGGAGAGGACTCTCCCTCCACATTATTGTAGAAACATCTTCTTCTTCCGTTAGAGCAGCTAGCACCAGATGCTAATAACAACAGCGCTGGTACCGGTGCACCCTCCCTTTCTCCCTCGCTCGCTCCCACGCTCACTCGCACTTTGGCTGTGAGCTGCGGGTGCCAGATAAGCCAACATCCCCCATTTTCATCACTTACAGCGCCCATCGTACAAGGCAAATGAAAAGTGTAACTGAGATGAAAAGGGTGTTACATTTACTTAATTATGAATGTTGTTACATCAAGGCCGAAAATTAGGATGAGCACCAACGGTCAAAACTTTTGTTTTCCTCCCAGAGCTGTCAGCGCAGCGCCTCCACAGATCTGGCGCCCTAGGCGAACATCTCTAACGCCAGTGCAACGGGCCGGCCCTGGTCTCAGGTTACGGCCCGTACACACAGCAGCTTTTGGCGATTTATCCACCGCTTCCAGCGCGTCTCCACCCATTGACTTTGAATGGGGATGACGTCACTTTCCCTCGCTTGTCGCCGAACTGCATTGTGGGGGGGCGAGGCGAAGATTTCCAGGATTTCCAGGATGTTCAGGATTCCAAAGTTGAACAATGTTCAACTTTTGAGGCTGAGCTGGCTGCGACAGCCAATCAGATCCGTTTATGCAAATCTGACAGTTCAAGCGCTAGCCAATCAAACCGCGTGCAAGCTGGGAGAACCAGACCCGCAGTTCATTTCTATATTCCACAAAAATGGAGGAGAAGTTAGTTATTGCGGTAGCAAATCACCCGGTTCTTTATGACCAGTCCCTATTTACTTACCGGAGGAACCAGGCATGGAGGGAGGTGGCAGAGACAGTGGGTGAAACTGGTAGGTTTTCGCTTGTTTGGGGATTTTATATCCAGTTTACTTCGTTGCTAGTTTACTTCGTTGCTAGCAAGCATAGACAGTATCATTAGCCAGCATGGAATGTAGCATAAAATAGCACCATAGACATTAATCTCATAAATGTTCAAAATGTTAAAAGAAATAGTGGAGAAGAACCGGGGTTTTTTGCTTTGTATGTCGGGGGCGGGAGATTCATGTGATTGGTTGTTGGTCGCGAAATCCCCAAGCTTTCAGACACGCCCAGCTCCAAGACTTTCAAGATTTTTGAAAAGCTGCTGTGTGGACGTACCGTTACGCTGTAGGAAGTGTAGGTACAACGCTAAATGTCCTGCCCCGCCGCAGTCATACAGTAGGCTACGGAGAGCAGCGAGAAACATTTACTCAGGCATCGAAAAGCGGAACCGAAATTCACATGTCCAAATGATGCCGTTGGAATCTAAATGTTGGAACCGGTTCCGAACCGGAACCGGTTCTCGGTACCCAACCCTACCCGTCGGCCACCGTATAGAAGTGCAAATAAACAAAAAGTGGGGGGAAAAAGTATTATCCTTTAATGACTACGAAACTGGTGCAGACTGACTGACCAAACCTGTTGACCTGCTGGTTTACAACCTGAGCTAATGCTATCTGAGCAACTAGTTTACTGGCTGTCAATTCACAATGAATGTTTTTACCAATTAGGATTCATTGGTACACTCAGGGCCGCCCCTTCCTACAGGCCAATCACGCAGGCTGCATGGGGCCCCGCCTTGCGCAGGGGGCCCCGCCCAGAGGGCCTCAGCTGCTGTGCGCCGTTCTCCGCTCAGTTCTCCGCTCAGTTCTCCGCGCACCCCCCGCGAGAGTGAGAGATTACAAGGGGAGCACGTGTGTAACCCGACACCGTTGCAATAGTGCA